GGCTTTCACCGTGGACGAAGCGGAGTCCAGACAGTATAAGTCATTATAATCCATAATTATTTCCCCACTGGATGCAACGAATGCCTCGTTTATAATGGGTTTTCATGTTTTTGAATCATCGCTCCGGCCTGACAGGGCATCATCACAATATGGTAAGGGGCGTAACATTTCCGTCACACACTTGAGGTATTCAGCCAATCATAACGCACTGGATAGCTGGCCAATCACAGCACACCTCGCTTTTTCAGACCGATGAGCTTTGTAAAAATCGACGCGTTTCAGAAAGGCGGGGCATAGAGGAGAAACAATAATGTACAGTATATGGAAAATAATGTGTTTTTTGAACCTTAAACCGCATAAACGCATTTCATTACACCAAATACACAAAATAATGTTCTTTTTAGCAACATCATATGACCCCTTTAATTTGCTTGTGTGTTTGTTTATTTTTCATGTATTCTTATTTTTGCATGATTTATTTGTTTTTTACATATTCGTTTATTTTATTTTTTTATTTACTTGTTTCATTAATTTAATTTTTTACATTTATTCTTATTTTTGTGCATTTACTGATTTATTTTTACTTATTTACTTGATTTCATTTATTTAAAAAATCATATTTTTTGCATTTATTTTTTACATTATTAAGTTTTACTTATTTTCTTACATATTTTTTATTTTATGTTTTTAATCATTTTTTATTCGTGTATTTTAATTATTTATATATTTAATTTTAATTTGTTTTTGTCATTTGTTTCTCACTTTATTTATTTATTATCATTATTTTCATTTGTGTTTGTAGAGGTGGCCACTGGGGATCTACTGGACCTTGAATGTGGAGTAAAAGATCACTCAGGAATAGACGGCACACACCTGGCACAGAACCTCAGCACAGAGAACAACAACACTGTATGGGTAGGAACACACACACACACACACACACACACACACCTGCACAAATGTGCTTCAGACATGTGCCAATATATCTAAAGTCAAAGTACTTCACCAGTTGATCTGAATAATTACTTAATATTAATCAGAATGAATTGAAATTGATGCTTTTTATGTCAGCAATACTGAGAAAACCACTCACTGGTCATTTTAAAAAGACACCAGTGTTTATTTAATTCAGTCTACATACAATGATTTCAAGTTTTATTTTTTTAATTATTTTACATTAATATTTAACTTTTAAATAAAACAGCACATTTTATTTAATTTAACAGCACGTTAGTTTCTGCTGCAGTAATAAGAACCCATATGGTCTCCACATGAAGATGTTTATTTTAACTTGTTGTATTCTCTGCGGTGCCTTTTGCAGGAACTTGAGGATGGTCTAGATGAGGCTTTCTCAAGGTTAGTAAAATTTTATTTGGAATTATATCTGGCACTTTTACACCACAACACCCTGCGTATTGAACTTTAACAGGTCATACTATAACTTCAGCACAGATGTGGAGTATAGGGCACGACTATTCCTGGTGCTCCATTATGTGACCGCAGCGGTATTTGTGATGGACGCATTCAGCTCTGAGAATAAACTCTTTGGTTGGTTATTCAACTGCATGAAATTTTAAAATTAAGAATGATATACAGTTTATGACTGTAATACAATCCAAAATGTTGATATTTTTTAAATTTACCATTGTTTATTTATGGACTCTTGAACTTGACATAGAGATAATGCAGAATGAGATATCATATTGCACCCTGTGCCCAATTTGTGGAGGCCTTCCTCAGCCATATTCAAGGATGCATCAAATTTGACAATTAACAATGAAAGACAGCCAACGACTGTAATGAAATCCGAATTTTGAAATTTTTTTTACTGTATCAGTCTTTTTTTTTTATGGACCCTTGAACCTTACATATGGCACAATACAGAATGAGCCGTCATATTGCACTCTGTCTAATTTGTGGCAGTGTTTCTCTGCCACTTTCAAGACTGCATTAGATCGGACAATGTGGTGTGATAAATAATCTAAGGCTCTAACAAATTCCAAAATTAGAAAATTGTTTACTTTATCAATCTTTATTTATGGATCCTTGAACTTGACATTGGGATAATGCAGAATGAGATATAATATTGCACCCTCTTCCTAATTCGGGGAGGCATTTTTCAGCCATTTTCAGTGTTGCATAAAATTTGACAGTTAACAGTGATAAACATTCTCAGACTGTTCAGAAATCCACATTTTTTAAAATTTTTACTGTATCAATCTTTTTTTTTATGAACCCTTGAACATTAAATATGCACAATACAGAATGAGCCGTCAGACTGCATCCTCTGCTTAATTTGTGACAGTGTTTCTCTGCTACTTTCAAGGCTGCATTACATCTGACAATGGGACTTGATAAATGGTCTAATGCTCTAACAATATCCAAAGTTAGAACATTTTTTTACTTTACCAACCTTTTTTTATGGACCATTGAATTTTACATATGGCACAATATAGAACGAGACGTCATATTGCACCCTCTGCCCAGTTCAGGGTGGGCTTTCTCAGCCATGTTCAAGGTGCATTAAATATGATAAGTTCAAATGATATACAGTCTAAGCCTCTAACAAAACCCAGCATTTGAACAATTTTTAATATACCAATAATTTTTTATGGACCTTTGAAATTGACATATGCTTTGATAACACCATAGAATGCAAGTCGTTTGTCTCTACACATTAAGACAGACAGGAGAATGTATTTTAACATTTGAAAATTACACTCTTTAGCATTAATTTAAAACTATTAAGGAAAAATGGATGCCTCATAATATAAGTCCTTTAAGAGAATATTTTTATTGGGATAATATGCATGTTCCAGCTTGCCTGTATACACAAATCAAACAATTGTGATGCCAAATGATTAGGTCATGTTTTAAATGACTATTATTTGCATACTATGGGATCATAATGGCACTAATTAACAGTCATTTTATTCTGCAAACCAAACAACAGCTGTTTAACGATTTGTAATGATGGTCATTCTTCATCCAGACACACGGAGTGCCATTCCCGAGAGATTAGCAGACATGAGATGAGCTGTTTTACAGCAGCGGGGGTTCAGTCCATCTCTGATTCACGCTGATTATTTGTCGTGTGCAGTAATTAAAAGTGTTGGCGTTTAATCAAACGCAGCACTTCATTAATCTCCATTTAACATGCTTTCACCCTGTAAGTGTGAGGAGAGACGTTCTAGATCTTTGACATGCAAGAACTTTTCCAATCAAGGATGAATTGGGAGTGAGTAAATCTCTGATTAAAGACTATTGAAGTGCTTTCCATCAAAAACTGAAGCTGTTTTAGTGTTTTGTGATGGTTTATTCTCCAAAACACTGGGATGAGAGATATTGTGGTTATAATTGACCATTTCTGTACATCACTGTGTGATTGATGTACAAATAAAATGAAATGGCTAGTTGTACTGAACTTCAATTTTGTCCAATAGAAGATCTAAATGTCAGAATGATCTCTTGACCCAATATAAAGAAAAATAAGTGTGCATTATTTTCAGAGTATATAGTGCTTAATATTTTAACATTTTAAATTTGCTATTATTTATTTTCTTCATATTCAAAAAAGAAAATGTATCCTGCTACTCTTACTTTTTGTTGCATTGTAAGTAATTTTGCATCCTTAAAGTTTACCGTGACTGCAATTTTTGCTGCACAATTTAATGTCATTCATGTTCATAGCACAAATGGTTAAGTTATATGCAGTGTTATTTTAGTATTATTTTATACTGTTTATTAATATTTTGAATTTGCTTTAATTTTTAGCTATTTTATTTGTGTTTGTTTTGTAATTTTGCACTTTTGTCATTTTTTTTTTCATTAATTTTTATTTAGCTCTAATTTTTATTTAGTTTTTATATTTAGTTTTTTTAGCTTTGTTTTAGTCATTTTAATACTTCAACACTGTAAAAAATTTCAAAATCAGCTTATTGCAGTACATTTGCCAAGAAAATACTATAAAAATCTTTCTACTTAAAATTTTAATGTTACTTGCCATTTCTTTGTAAATATTTGTCAAATGTACTAGCAATTTCTGAGTGAAAATTGTTTCAGAGTTAATCCTACACCATTTTTAAGTGAACTTAAACTTATTTATTTTAATTAGTTGTCAAGCCAACATTTCTAATTCTAAGTTTAGGTTTTTCGTATTTAATTTTTAATTTCATTTAAATTATTAAGCTTTATTACCATTTTTTTTTTTTTTTTTTTTAAGAGTTTCAGTTAACAATAACTACATTGTTAAAAGTTGTTTGGTTATACACCAATGTTTGATACTTGGGAGTGTGTTGAAATCTTTAACCCCAAGTGTGAGCAGTAGTAGTCATGCTTACCTAAGCAAACACCACTAATAATGCTTAATGCATTTAGTCTTACAAAGAAATGGATCTTACAGCAGAGATCAGAGATCAGCTTCAGTTGAACTAACGAGTTGGCCTCATTTCCTCAACATTAGCCCAGCGGTAACCTTTGACTTCACTGGCTGCTCAATAAACTCCTTCAGGACATTTAAAAAAAAAAAAAAAAGGTTGATAAAAATATCACAATGTGGAAGTTCTGTTATGGCAACAGCGAACCAAGACATGCTGACTAAACATGCAGCTTACACTGAGTCACTGCTCCTGTTTTCTCATGCTGATGTTGTTTACTTCCTTCAGCCGCAGTCTGGATAGTTTTGAGTCCAACACAGGTAAAGATGTCGTTCACCTCAGCTGTAGTGAAATGTGCCTGTGGCGTAGTCCTCATCCGTCATAGTCCACTCTTTCACAACACCATGATCATTCACAACAGTGTACGACTGTAGTCCAGTTCTCCATCTGTAGCAGCTCATGCATGTTCCTCCTCACGGCTCAAAACCCTGTCCAGTTCTGACACCTGTTCTATAGGATTTTGAGGACTTTATGGCAGGGTTCTTTGCCAAGAGTCGTAGAAACATCATTTGGATTCATCTTCATATTTTCCTAGTTCATCTTGTGATCAGTCGTCAGTTTCCCGCCACTGCCTTGTCACAAAGTCTGTTACTATGAACCTTATTCTGGATAGACGCTGTATTTAAAGGGATAGTTCAACCAAAGATTTAAATTCTGTCATCATACTCACCCTCAAGTTGTTCCAAACCTGTATGAGTTTCTTTCTTCTGTTGAGCACAAAAGAAGATATTTTGAAGAATGTTGGTAACCAAACACTTGACGGTAGCCATTGACTTCCATAGTATAGAAAAAAAATACAACTTACTGTTATTATTTATCACCTTCATGATGTTATTTTATCAGTGGAACACAACATACACTATCTTTTAAAAGTTTTGAGGTTTGTAAAAGTTTTTTTTTTTATTTATTAATACTTTTATTAGGAAAGGATGCATTAAATTGATTAGAAGTGACAGTAAAGACATTTGTAATGTTACAAAAGATTTATACACTGAACAAAATTATAAACGCAACACTTTTGTTTTTGCCCCCATTTGTCATGAGCTGAATGAGCTGATCTAAGACTTTTTCCATAGAAAAAGTCTTAGATCTTTGAGTTCAGCTCATGAAAAATGGGGGCAAAAACAAAAGTGTTGCGTTTATATTTTTGTTCAGTGTATGTCAAATAAATGCTGTTCTTTTGAACTTTCTATTAATGAAGGATCCTGCAAAAAAATGTATCGTTTCCACATAAATATTAAGCAGCACAACTGTTTTCAACATTCATAATAATCAGAAATGTTTCTTCAGCAGTAAATCAGCATATTAGGATGATTTCTGAAGGATCATGTGACACTGAAGACTGGAGGAATGATGCTGAAAATTCAGCTTTGCTTCACAGGAATAAATTACATTGTAAAATATATTCAAATAGAAAACAGTTATCCTAAATTGTAATATCATTTCACAACATTACTGTTTTTACAGTATTTTTGATCAAATAAATGCAGCCTTGGTGAACATAAGAGACTTTGACTAAAGTGCATTGAGGCTGTGTGGCAGTGTTACCGTAGTGATATTCCAAGAGATGTTCCTGTTTTTTTTGTGCGTTTTTTTTTCCCCACAGCACACTTTTCATTCCAGCTCCTCAGAGGTTTGATTTCACATCATGTGACATTCAGCCACAGAGTTCTGTCTCTATATTTAGGGTAGTAAAAAACAAAAGACAGTTCATGCGTATTTTGTGCAGCTTATAGACTTCTGTCTAGGAATGGGAATCATAAGGAATGTAACCGTTCCGATTCCACGTTATGGTTCAGTTAAGGATTCTTTTAGTACGTTTAGAGGAAGCTGATGTTCTAAAACAGTAATTATTGTATAAATAGTAAAGCACTAACAAAACTCTGTTGTGAATGTGTGAATCTTTAACCATAAGTTGTCAACGTTAGACTGATTCAAACTGATGACTCCAAAAAAATCAATGATGTTTGATTCTTTCTGAAAGATTCATTAAAAAGACACCAGTCCACAAATCAGACTGATCACTCTGCATGGGCAATGCAATAGAAAGACATATTGTCAATTTCTTTTATTTGTATTATTTCACAGTGTCCAGCCTTTATTTCTAATCATATTAAATTTAATTAAAATTAACAAAAAGAACCTCTTTGTGATTCCCAACCCTACATATGAAGCATTTATGCACACACCGTTTGTATGTTCTTTTACTACTACTTATATGTTATTATAGTATTTCATAATGTTTTGAATTATTAATTGAGGTTAGATTTTCAGTTTCTTTTTAATTTTAGTTGAAGTTGTAGCAATTTTTAGGGCTGGGTAAAAAATATTGATATCTCGATATTAATCGATTCTCTTTTTTACAGAACGATATCGATTCTTAAATCCCAAGAATCGATTAGTCTAGCCTGTAGTGATGGGAAGTTTGGATCATTTTAACGACTCGGGCCTTTGAGTCTCGTTCAGCAAAATTAACGAATCTTTTTTCGAGTCATTTCATTCATTTTAGCTAAATATAATTAAAATGTTACGTGTTACTTCCCTAACACGTCTACTACTTACGCAAACGTTGATCACACTACAAACAATACAAAACTATAACGCTATAAGAAACATAAAAGATTCAGTCAGATTCAGATTCTTCAGATTCAGATTCTTCAGTCTATGATTAGCTCACCTCACCTCTTATTCGACAAGTCTTCGGGTTTGAGTCATTCGTTCATCACGTGACAGACCCATAAACTTAATCTATGCGGTCAGTTTATGGGGCTGTCACGTGATGAACGAACGACTCAAACCCCAAGACTTGTGAGATAAGAGGTGAGGTGAGCTAATCATAGACTGAAGACCCAGGTAAACAATTAATTAATCTTTAGCCTGTTTTCAGTTAATGGACGGAATATTGAAGGACACTTCCCATCCAATAAATCGCAATAAGCATTGTGCTTTGGTGCTTTTAATATGAAACAAAGTCCCAGGTTTCAATTTATGTCCATTGTATTGCAGTATTCAAACAATAAATGCCGTTTTGGCACTGTTTAATGTGGAGTGACAGATCGCTGTAGCGCGTGGCGCACGTGAACTGATCATCTCCTCCACATTAATAAACATGACTAAACATCCGAAGGTAAGTTAAAAGAAAGAGTACAACTTTACAATCTGTATCCTATCTCATGTAATCGCTCAATCAGTGTTTCAACCACGCAAAGACGTCAATATAAAGTCTTGTAAACATGGTCACGTAATGTCACATTTACCTCAGAAACAAACATATTCGGTGACCATAAACTCGTTAGTCAGCTAGAAAAATAAATTGTAGAGAGGGGTATTTTGCTAAATATATGCACCATATAACATATTCATTATAATTTTGACTGTTCTTATGTTTAATTTATGTTTGAATGAATTCATCAATTTTTTATGACAGCCACCATTTAAATTTTTATATAAAAAAAAACGAAGTGAAGTAAAAATGTTATTATGTGATTGTAACTTTATTATTTTAAAAACTTCATTGTGTCATTTTAACAGTTGTATGCTCTAGCTTACAAATCAGTCAGTTTTAACCTTCAATATTATAGTAATGTTGTACCAAATGACTCTCATTTATATTTTACAGCATTAGTTGAGAGATTTTTTTCCCTTGTACCTGATATACAGTATATCCAAAATAATCGAGATTGAATCGAATCGAATCGGTAATCGAATCGAAAGCTTGTGAATGAGAATCTAATCGAATCGTGAAATTTGTGCCAAAACCCAGCCCTAGTAATTTTGTTGTAATGTGCTTTTGTCATTTTTTATATGTTATAAATGTATATATGTTATATACATATAATCATATATACATTTAGATATTATTTTATTATTTTATTTAATATTTTTAAATTATTTTAAGTGTGTGTGTATATAAACATTAAATTAAATGTTTTTATATATATACAGTGGGTACGGAAAGTATTCAGACCCCCTTCAAATTTTCACTCTTTGTTATATTGCAGCCATTTGCTAAAATCATTTAACTGTATATATATATATATATATATATATATATATAGCTAATATATAAGATTTTTATCAGTCTTTGATGTATATATATTTTTTATGTCTGTGTGTGTGTATATATATATATATATATTTCTGATGAGCGCTGTCCATTCATACAATCGTGTTCATAACATGCGAGAGTAATACGCTTATTTTATCATGTCTTTAAAATGTAGCGAAGAGCTCCAGATCAGGGAGAAGTTTACCATGCATATTTAAAGTGTTGTTTCTGGTGTTTTGCACATGTATTCCCTGCTCTCTGACATGATCTGAACCGCCACTGATGTTGTGGAGATGTTTGCTGCCCTGTGTTTTTCGGTTTCACTCATTCTGTTTGTGTGTTTTTCTCCCAAGACTCGCTGAGTCTCGCACTAACCCCCAGATGCTGGACATTGGGGTAAACCCTCAGGACTACAACCCTGAAGAGTGCTTGTCGCCTAGCAACTGGGACAAAGCCGATGCTGAGGCTGCAGACGCCGAGGACGTGTTCGGATTCTGATCGACGGTTCGCGGGAGGAACGAGCTGATGAAACGACACAAAGGGAATCGAGCTCGTCTGACCGGCCGCAGCTGATACCGGCTTTGAGTTGACATGCGGTTCGGCAAACCCTACGGATGACTTCAACAAAAGCACAGACCAAAGCAATACAGAATATAGTTTTTCTTTTTTTTTTTTCCGAATTACTTTTAAGTATATTGACATTTCAAATGTTCTGTTACTTCCCATAAGTTGCTTTACTTTCTTTCTTTTTTTACTTGTATAAATATAAAATATATGTGTATGACAATAACTGTATAATATTTGCTCATTATTATTTTTTAATGGATTTGATTGCTGAGGCTAGCTTTGCGATTCTATGCAGGGGTAATGCATACTAAATTTCCTGATGTTTGAGGTTTGTGTGGAGTTGGATTGTGTTTTTTAAGTGGTGATGGTTTTGTATACATGAGTTGTCTGCCCTCAGATGTGTGAAAATGAATGGCAAACATTACAGCATACAATAATGGACAAAAAAAAAGAGAGAAAGATAAGGCAGGCTATTTAAATTAGACAATCTTATTTTTTTCTATTAAAACGTATTTTTGCACTCCTTTCTGCGTCTCAGAGCTCATGGTTTCATTTCAGGATCTTTCTGTTTATGCCATGCTTATAGTTCATTCTTCATCAGGCTATACCCATCCAATAAATCACTGTGGAAGTTACGGTATTATAATTACTTAAAGAAAACTGTGGTATTACTATCATGGTAGTGTCTAAAAAAGCAAAAACATTGTATTACCATGGATGTCTATGGTATGTTTTATGGAAATACAGATCTATTTTGTGTAACATGTATCCCTTTGCCCTAAAATATACCTGAATTAATTTCAGGTTGAATTTAAGTGCAGCAATATATTATTTGTCTGCTTTACTTTTGTTGAAGCATGATCATCATAAACAAGCAATGAACTGATATTTAACACTGTGGATTTGACTGAAAAAAATGCGGGCAGTTCTTTTGTGGTTTACATTGACGCCCTGTTTTTAGGTTTTATTAGACTTCCTAAGTAAAATTTATAGTAAGTCAGTGTTAGTTTCTGTTTGCATTATTTCATGTTCAAAAATTAAAACGAATGAAAATGCTGTTGATTACTGTTTTGAGTTGACATTTCCTCCATCTAGTGGTGAAACTAATGTAGTGCAGTTATTTTTATTATTTATTTTTATTTTGTTATTATTTAGTTATTTATTTTTATTATGTTATTATTTAGTTATTAGAACATTTTTGTCAAGATATTACGACTTATTCTGTGGGAAATAATCCAAATATTATTTTTCATATTTTGATTTTCTTTTTGTGGTTTCATTTCAGTGGCTATGCAAGTCATTATTCAGGTGTTAATGAATAGGCGGCGCTGTCACGTAGTTTTCACGAATCATTTATTAATATTCATAAGACGTGCCATGTAACTAACGTGATGCCTGTTATTTTTCAGTACTTTTCAGTTTTTCAGCGCTGGTCAGAATAGAGCATAGACTGTATACAAACAGTCCCCAGATAGCAAGAACGTTTGGGCCAAATGTGGCTGATAGCTGTCACATTTGGCCTAGGTATGGCATGGCTGAGCACATATGGGACAAACTTTAACTGTATATGTTTTGCCATGGATTTAGAATTGGAGGGAATTTTCTTTTGGATGACAATTTTTTTGAGGTATATGGTCCAGATGATAGCACACAACTGAGAGCCATATGTGGCTTGGCTATGGCACACCATGGAATATGTTAATTTATGGTTAACATTTGGCTTTTATTTGGAAAAACACATATAAACTGCTGGCAGGTTAGTGGCAGTCCACATCTCAGCCCATTCAACAATGCTATTGGTTGCTTTGTGTCTTCCCTTATTCCTATTGGTGGATTACTGACATTTTGAAAATATATCCGTTATTTCCCGCTCTGCTTCCTCTTTCAATCGCCGTTAAAAAAGACGATGATGAAAAAGCTATTTACAACAACAGCCTTTGCCCAGACACATGCTTATGCAGGTAAGTGCAGTTTTGGTTTTTTAAATGTTTTCTAGGGGTGTAATGGTACACTTATTCTTCGTACCGAACAAATACAGTGTCATTTTAACCACTGCACACGCGGAACTTAATCCGTTTCAGTTCATAGCCGTGGTGTAATGGTACACTTATTCGTACCGAAAATTGTACCGAACAAATACAGTGTAATTTTAACCACTGCACGAGCGGAACTTAATCCGTTTCAATTCATAACCGTGAATAGATCTTCACTAGGCTATACATTATTACTATACATTACATTCTGTAATCGTAAGGTTTGTGTTTTGTTCTTTTCGATAAGAAACAAAGTCTCATTTTTAAAATTATGTATATTTTATCAGGAAATTAAATCCGTAAATGCCGTTTTGACGCTCTTTGATGTGGCGTGACAGACCGCTGCGAGCGGAAGCGCTGAGAGCGACCCAGTCGCGGGTCTGGATCATATCAACAGCTAAAGTGTGGCCCAGATTAGCTCGTGTTTGCCGGCCCAAAACTGGTCCAGATCTTTTTAGCCAGAACTGAACCAAAACAGTGCCATAACCCAACCCAGAGTGAGACAAATATCATCATCCCTTCCCTTTAA